ACGACCACCATGACYAATTRATTCATTTGTAGTTTTTAGAATTTCGTAAAGTTCATCATCGTTAACATAAAATAATATTTTGCCATCAGCAGTTACTGGAAAAATTATTTTTTTTATTTGCTGTACAACCAGAATATTGTATCTATAAAAACCCCAAAATAATATATAATATTATTAGAAAAATATTTTAACTGATAATTGTTTATTAAAAAATGTATTTTATATTATTAAATATTACTTATTAACATATTTATTGTTGATTAAAATAATATTATAAACCATTTATATTATAAAAATATAAGATTAATTATTAATTTTCTGAAAAAACTTTTTAACTTACCTAACATAATATTTTTTACTATAAGTATTGACTTACAAAATACAGCATTAAAAAAAATTAAATACCTACCTTTGAAGCGTCTAGTAATCATGCGATGTTTTCTTTTTCTTTTTACGATCTTTAAGCAGCAGTAACTCGTGTAATATTTGTTGATATTTTTCATTCGATAAATAAATTGTATTTTTCGAATTTTTCAGACATTTACTTAATTCGGTATTGAAACGTTCAGACATTTTTATAATATATATATCTCAACACGACAACACGACAAATACTCTAAGAGTGAGAAAAAATAATATTTTAAAAACGTATTTTGAATTTTCCCGTATACACGAACAACATAATAATATCATTAGTGAATTCATTACCTACCTTATGCGATAAGATAATCGTCAAGATAAGCAATAATCATTGATTTSWTTAACGTGAAGTTTTATATTAATTATATACTTTTCCTGCTCGAGGTTAGGTAATCTATAGAATATCTAGTTATTATATATTTTATACTTTTGCTGATCATTGTTGGCATTTTATAGAATACGTAGGATTTCTATATAAAACCGGATTCAAAACTTTGCCAGTAACATATACAATATACATATAGTGGATTCCATTTTGAATACATCGGTTTGACTCTATRTCAAAACACACGTGTATTTGAAAATGCAGAGGTACATCGACGCAGCAAYTCCGGTCAGGCATGTTTTCCCGCTGTCTATGAAGCAGTCGATTTATTATTAGACAATCCTTTTCACCTCACCCCTTAATGTTTTGAGTCCTTAAACCATCGAGTTATGCAAGAACCAGTATTTTTCTACCGATTCTAAGATAAATGTACCTTATACGTGGTCGGGTTTTYTAAATAATATCGCTGGAATATATTATTTGCATACATTATTGTAAAGATATGTTATCGATAATATAGTCATGTAGGTAGATATCGATCCCATGAAATAAATATACATATTAGATGTGGTTTAGAGGCGAATTAGAATTTTTCTGGAACTTACATCACAAATTCATATTTTTAATTGATATAAGTGAGGGCTTAAACGATCAATAAAATAAGTTGCGCATGAATTTTGTTAGTTTATAGAAAGGCATGTCCTCGCCTTGGTTCCCAATCCTTTTAAATACCTAACCGTGTAGAGTAATTTGAGTAGTTAAAATTATGTTTATATGGTTAAAGRGGGTAGTGGTAAAATGGTATAACCGAACGAATAATTTGTGAAATTCGATTATAAGTTAGAGTTAGGTGTAAGAGAGTTTAGAAATTACGTAATGAGGCGGTGTATTAATATTTTGCCAGTGTAGTAGTACATAATATTCATTAGCATACATATCACATACTTTGTACTTGGTTAGCATTATAAATTATCAATGCCATAATAATTAATTACAAGTATAGAGGCGCATTAAGGGGTAAAAGTAACTGGGATGATTGGGCGAATGCCCCAGGCCCTAAATTGYAGTGATGGTAAAAATCAAATAACTACCGATTAATTCGAATATTATAAGTTGTGATTATGTAAATATTTRTTTAGTCAAAGAACTCGTTGGTTTTAAATGTATCTGGTATTCTCGGTATTGAATAAGTCACTGTAATTGCTGTGTTAAATTTTAATTTATTGATAAGACTTTATTTACTTATTACAACAATTATTGAGTGAAGACGATATGTCACTGTATCAGYCTTCCATTTCTGCATATATTTTATAGTACCTATATATTTATCTATATTATTATATTTTTTTTAGCAATATAATAATTAATAAGTAAGTTGAATTTGAACAAATTATAGACAAAATTCACGAATATATTAATATTAATATTATATTAATATATTATTATATCTATATTATGAAATATAAATTTTCATAGCATATTATATTATCATATAATATTGTGCAACACCAATGTACTGATGAATGTAAAGTTTGTGGTATAATAAGTTACCTAGTAAAGTATTTGGAAAATTTTACTATACTTAGCAAATAAAAATATTCTTAAATGTAATGATTAATGATGAATTGGTGAAATGGTGAAATGTTTTAAGTCCTAACGATTTTTTTTTAAATTTCTTAACAAAATAACTAAAAACACTATTACCTACTTACTAAATATAGGTTAGTGGCTGTGTTAAGTAATTGTGCAATTTGTGCTCTTGGAACACAGTTTGTAAATCTTTGGATTGAGCTCCTCTACTTAATTTTTCCCAATTCGAGCACTAGGGAGAAGGCAGTAAAATGTTAACCTAGCCTAGGGCAAAAATAGCACATAAAATAGCTCCTAAAGTTGACATGGATTTCAATCTTTTTATTAATACGTTTTCAGAGGAAAGCACATGCATAATACACGTTATGGTTATAYGTATTGCATGTTGTTCATAATAGATATTATCCAATAATAATAATATAATAAGTACGGCGTTAGAATGCGGGATGGGTACCTATACGCAACGATACCTGCATTCAAATTTTGCCACGTGCTTATAAAGGTTGGCTGAAAAAAGCTTTCACGATAATTGTTTTCTAAGTTCAGAAATTTAACGATTTTTCTTACCTAAGAGATACGGTCGCAATAATTATCGCCAACCAATTAATTATATCTAACGAAATCGATGAATAACGAAATATACACTTTACCCAAAACACGACGTTATCGTCGCAAAAATACTTTCAAGGACGCGTTTATACAACAACTTTTGTTCACAATTTTTAACTTTGGATTGTTATTTTTTGACAACATTTTTTTTAAAAACGTTAATGCATKTACCGTRGTAAATAAGTATAGGTACTATAGTAAATTATGTAAAATTACAAAAAAAATATTTAAATGCAATTCAAAAATCAGATATACGCATCCACGTGATGACCGTTTACCGAGTATGACTGCAGTGAAAAAGTGTAATTTAAATTTTAAGCCCCTCACGTAGTTACATGTCATAATAACTGAACGACAAAGCGTCGTGCAACCCTAACAACAACAATAGGTACATATGCGATATAAACATAATATGAAAAAAAAAGTTTTTTCCTATATGAATACAAAATACCAACGTATATTTATCATAATATAGGACATCCTTATACCTAGCTGATATACACCGACGAATGGTATACTGTGATCGAAGAGTCTTATACCCATAATTAATATTTGTCATTCTGTATTCTAAAATTATTATTCTATTATTATTCAATTATTCGTCTTATTTAATATTATCAGTGGTGAATATTCCACAACCTAAATTATTATAACTAAAATGCATCAAGGCCCGGTTCGTTGCCAGATCGTCAAAGATCGTGTCGTGTTGCATCCAAACGTTGTCTAGGCCCAAGTTTGAAAATTTCCAATAAATCACGATTAGTAAATTACGCCATCATTWAAATGACCGATCATTATAAGGCACACGCCATATGAACATTCGAATTTATTCTGTGTGGTACTAATAGGTGTCTATTTTTTGAGATTAATATTTAATTTACAATAGCCATAGTCATGAACACAAATACGTGGGAAAAAATTTGAAATATTTAATATTGATAAAATAACACAAACGATTCCTTGCATAAAAGTAGAGCTTTTAAATGTATACGTGTTGTTGCTGTTAAAATTATTAAGATGCCATAATAAAATCGTGTCTATGTGTCTTTGTGTATAGCGGTTGTCGACAGCGTTACGATAACGGACCAGAGGGTGCCGAGTGCTGTGCTGAATGGTACCGAGTATGTCGTATTGGACTGCGTGTACAAGGTGAAACCGGAAGAGGCCGAGGGGCTGGTGATCACATGGTATTTCAACAACAGCCCCAGCCCTGCATACCAGTGGATACAGGGCCAACCACCCCGGGCCATCGGTCCGCTGAAAAATCACATCCGGTTGGGCTTCGCTGCGCCCACCGACGACGCGTTGGCCAAGTACCGCGCCCTGTATATCATCCGGCCAACCATCGAGCTGACTGGCAACTACAAGTGTGTCGTGTCCACATACAACGACGAGGACTTTATGATTAAGAAGATGATCGTTTACGGTGAGCCAACACTTTTAATGCAATAAATCGTATATTTTATAGTGTGATGGGCGGTTTACAGTTCACAGGTCAGCCATCACCAGTGGCGTAGGAAGTAGAGCAGCCCTGTACTCGAAATAAATCGAAAATGAAATTATTTGTATAGTATGCTTTATACAGCCGAAAATGTTGACTCTGCATGTGCATTATTGCATTCGAACATTATAGATTGAGGGAAATAGATTGTCCTTAAACGACAAAAATACAACGTTTTTCGATTCATTTATTTTCTTCCGAATATTTTCGTTTCCTTTAAGAATAGGCGTATGCTAGAATAGGAAACCCTTTAAATTCATATTGTGAGCTTTATAATCAACTTTTTTTTATTACTCTGATACATGACTTTTTATTTGAAAATGCTTGACATGGCTTCGTATTTCCCCCCCAAGTGTACTTTCATTGTATACCTATATTTACAACTGGAATTCAAAATAAAATAATTCCCTTATTTTACTTTTGTGTTCAAAACCCGACTTCTTTTCAAACCATTACAATGTGTTTATAGCTACTCAGCTATACAAAGGTTTATCAGTTCCATTCGTTCCTAACATTCAAATYATGTATTATAATATGTGAAACATTATTATCTATAAACCATAATTACATCATTGTAGTTTTTCTTATTTATTATATTCCGTTTAAATTTTTTATGGTTATAATATGTAAAAATATTTATCAACTGAAGACAATCTTCTATCATATTGTTATTAAAAATTCTATCTAACATACCTTATTATTAGATGTTCATATTTATTTATTTTCTATTGTCGTTACCTACTTCAGAAATTTATAATGAATAAGACCATCTAATTAAGTAAGAAAGTTGTATCTTTTTAACATCCAATTTAGCTTTAATTTACAAATTGTTACTTAATACTACTTTCCACCTTATTCGCGGCATTTTAACATGTTTTAGGACTGTGAATTATTCTACGATCTTTGAAGAATTTGACACAGTAGACGGGATGTCAGTAATAGTAGATTTTAAACTTATAAAATTCATTGTTCATCTTCGCACATTTCTCCTTATGGTTACATACGTACCTATTGAACCCGACCTTCAAATGAAATGACTCAACTAAYTAGTAACTTTACAAGTTATCTCTTTAATTATAAAACAACTAACAAAATAAAAATGAACAAAACAACAATGAAATATGTAGAGTACCTATATGTAAATCCACCATCTATATAATATACTACTATAGACATAAACACAAAAATTCAGGTTTTAATAATTAGGGGAAAGGGTGACATATAACATAAGAGTACCTTTTTTATTGTACAAGTGAAAATACGTTTCAAATAGTGAAATTTTATTAAAATTGACAAATTCTCAGAGATGATGATTATAATATTGTTATGTGGTGTATTTAGCTATTTAGAATATCAAATTCTATTGTTATTGCTTTCGTGTGAACTATATATAAATATAACATACTATGAATTATTTAAATAACAACTCTTGCTCACTATAATAGGTATATATTTTATATGTTACAGTCAAAATGTTGAATCAGTTATTTTATGAAATAACTAGGTAATTTATAAAATACCTAAAACGTATAGGTAATGTATCAATATAATATATACTTTAACTAGTTATTTTACACATTACCTGGCATCATCACTTACTTAATGTGTCAAATTGTATAAAATATAATTTTGCTGCCCATCATACTAGGTAATGATAGTGTTACATTAAGATCTGCGGCAACTGCGTAGTCACTATAGAAACAGATCAGGGTTTTTAAGTGCACTTATTGTAGGTATTAAAAAATGTGATACAAAGCGGTGTCTTTGCAGAAGAAAAAAAGGTACTATGTGACTCTAAATTTCACAATTGCATGTACAAATAAATAATCAATTCAATTTAAAATAAATAAAATCTTATAATATATTTTATTATTTTAATATATTTTAAATGCTAATGTATTCAATATATTTTAACGTATATCTAACTAAAATTGTATAGAAAAACTAGATATTCTATTAAATAACTATAGTTAGAGTATAATTGTCATGTATGATTTCATACTATAACTAATATTCGTAGGTAATTCATGAACTGCCTAGTTATTTAATAAAATAACGGAAATCAACACTTCAACTGTAGGTAACATATATATATACAGGGTGTCTCAAGAGGATTTACCCATTGCGATATCTCACGGAATAATGGAGATGTCGAAATTTTGGTTTTGTAATAAGATTCACAGGAATAAGAACTACAATTACTTAATTTTTAATATATTTGAATGTTTTGKTAAAAAATATAAAAATTGATTTTTTATTTAATTATTTCCAAAAAAATTAAAGATAGTCATTTTGTAGGGTTAATTTTTCTGAAAATATTGACGTCTCAAAATTGTATTTTTATTAATTTCCTGATTTTCAATATGTTATCTAGTTTTGAAGAAATAAAATATGATTATAACTATACACATTGAAAGTGTTCGGCCGGCCGTATGAGAACACGCGCGACACGTCAGGTCACATGTTGGATAACACTGCGGTGTTAAATAATTCGCAATTTTTCTCAAAACTAAAAAAAAATTGAAAATCAGGAAATTAATGAAAATAAAATTTTGAAA